TACTCCTACTTGTGAAATGTTGACAGTATTTTCTGATTTATGGAGAGATAAAAAGAAAAATCTGCAAAAATACGTCGACAAACTCAAACAAGAGTTTTGAACCTGTTTTATCCAAAGCTCAGATTTCTGTTCTGGAAGTGTATTCAAATTACTGCATAATTAAATAGTGCCTCATTTGCATATTTAAACAAAACTCTTTAAAAGAAAGCGTGTGATATAAAACAATGGCCTTAGTGTGCAGCGATTAAGCGTTTGGCCTGAAATGACATTAGTTGGAGGATCATGACAGAATCTGATGTAATAATGATGAAAATCATCTGTGTGTGTGTGTAGTGGAGGACAGCAGGGGGCAGCAGTGAAGCACTAGTGTTCTGTCCTCATCACACACACACACACACACACACACACGTGTCGAATTCTGTCTCCGTTTACTCACATGGAAAGCCTCTCTCTCCACACAACACACAAGGAATATCGCAGTGCCCTCACACACACACACACACACTCCCTGTTCCTCAGCATATGTTTGGAACGACATGAGGGCGAATAAATAATGCCTGAATCCTCATTTCTGGGTGAATAATTCCTTTAATCCGTTTAAAGCTCGTCTGTTGGTGTGTGTCGCTCGCTCCAGTGTTTCAGGCTCTCGGTTTGTTAAAAGCCTTCATTAAGATTCACTCAAACATGGTGTGTGTGTGTGTGTGAGAGACGGTGACGTCTGGATTTGAATGACCCAGATCAGCTTTAGTCGCTTTTGTTTTCCAGTTAAAACATGGAATAAAAACTCAAAACAACAGAACTAATACTTATTAGGATTGTGTTTTTATGTTTATTGAACTGCATCGAGAATCTTTACACTGCGAGAGAGCAGCTTGATGAAAGTGTGTGTTCTCCTTGCATTGTCAGCTGGATTATGAAAGTGGGCGGGGCAGTATGTAAATTGTGTCACAGCTGTAGGTCACCTGGTGGTGGTGGTGTGTGTGTGGGGGGGAGGGGGGGCTCATTAATTATGCATGAAGCTGGTGCTCTGGTTTCAGTGGGATCCGGTGAAACTTCTGTAACCTACATACATGATCCGGCATGAGACACACACACTCCTCCCACTCATCCTCTCTAGCAGCACTCAGTGTCATGAATGATTGTTTGACCTCTGGCCTTTGTGTCAATGGGGTCAGACTTTCTCTAAAGACTACAAGCACTAGTTCCCACCATTTCAAACCCGCCCACAGGGGGTTGGACCTAATGCGCTAACAGACCAATCACAGATCAGTGCCAGTGCGTCTGATTTCACAGCAGAAATGTTTTGAAAATATGGACGAAGATACTGAATATGCAGACGGATGCATTATGGAGGACTGGGATTACATATCTTTTTTGGAAGCTAAGCTAAGCTAGCAGGCTCTTGTTCTGCAAGGCCCCGTTTACACGAAGCAAAAACGCAGATATTTCCCTGCGGATTGGCCTCTCGTTTACACGAAAACCCCGTTTTTATCACAGAAAACGATTATTTCTAAAAACTCCGGCCAAAGTGGAGATTTCTGAAAACGGCGGTTATGTCTTGTCGTGTGAACTGGGAGAAACGGCGTTTTAGGATCCCTCTTGTCGATTCTGAGGATTCTGATTGGCTTGCATGGCTTTATCCTTAACCCCTACACTGCCGCCAATAGGTTTGGCATAGTTATGATGGCGCTCGGCGGCGTATTTATGCGGGTGTGTGAACGATGTTATTTTTTGGGGAAAATATTCGTTTTGCTGAATACCCGGCTTTGTGTAAACGTGGCCTTAGGTGTTACCATCCTCTTTTTCCCGGATATGTCGGGCCGTCGATGTCCGGGATTCAGCTTTTGCTTTCTGCAGTCGCCATGCATTGTTTACATGTAAGTTACAGCTTTTGTGTCAATCTAACTGAATTCATTCTGATTGCTGAATCAGTGTTTACATGAACGCTAAACAAGTGATCGGTTGATGTGGGTTTTAACATTGCTAAGAAAATTCCCGCTCCTCCGTGAGAGATACGAGACCTGTAACTTACGTCTCAAGTGACGTTCATCGGTAATCACGCCACCGGCCTCGCGTCCCTCACTCGTCCGGCTCACCACAGTAAACATGGTGGATGGCGACTGTAGAACAAAAGTCCAATCCCGGACACTTTGGGCGATCTCGAAATGCATTTTCAGGCAGACTCATCACGGAGACTCACTACTCTAAACTTGTTGTTTACCTACTGCGCGTTTACCGGTAGGCGTGGCCTCCTAGAGCAGCGAAGCAAGTGCATTCTGGGAGTTGTTGTCTTTCATCCACATAAGCCAGAAATACATTTTCTGGCTTTTCTCAGTCTATAAAGCTCTAAATTCAAAAACAATTTCACATTTCTCCTACATAAATTACCCATTTTAAATACACATTCATCTTACCAGAGGTGGAATGACCCTTTACCGAGACTATTCACATTATAAACTCCCATAATGAAGCAGCGCTTGTAGGGTTTAAAACTCAATGAGTGTGTGTGTGTGTGTGTGTGTATGTGTGTGTGTAGTCTCGTCGGGTTAGTGTTCGTCTATGGGTCTGAGCAGCAGAAGCGGCTCGTGTTGACGGTCATTAGCAGATGTCCGCTGGAGCGAGGGTCGGGATTACAGCTATAAGCCTGTTTCTTCATTACAGGCTGTGAATCAGTGGCGTTCACGGAGACCTGCAGAGTTGAGCTTCTGGAGGTCAAAGGCAAAGCCAATGTTGAGTCAGTCTCTGTTTACAGAACACAAAGCGGGCAGTTAGTAACCAAGTTACTGTTATACATATATATCGCATGGACAAACAGTGAAGACGAGGGCATGTTGAGACAAAGCAACAGGACACCCGAGACCTTTATGCCCCAGAAACATTTAATCAGTCATCGTCGACGTGTAGACGCCACACGGCTCCAGAGCGATTCTTATCTGCATGTTTATTTACGGTTAGAGATGTCGAACAATCGAGTCTTTGCAGCGCAGGTGTCGAGCCATGAGAGGACGGCTGGGCAAGAGCTCGTCCCAGCGTGAAGACGGGCTCGGGTTTCAGATTCATTCCTTTAAAGCTGTAACGTTATATGGTCTTTAATAATGTTCTCAAAACGTTAGAGCAAAAACTTTATTTATTCATTGTTCATAAAATGTTTAAAATGTCGCAAAACTTTTAGAGAACAGTACGGTCCCATAAAATGTGAAGAATTTGTGATGGATTTTTTAATAAATAAAATAGTAAACTGTATTAGACAATTTCAAAAGTATAACAGTCTTTATAGTCTCATAATTACTGAGTAATCAAATGAACTTCTAACCTCTACCATTTTTTCAATGATTTGAGATCTACATTTGCTCCAGTTACGGGGGAAGTGGGGGCTTGTTTTTCACAGATTAAACTAATCATATTGACGGAAGGTGACCATGAGTAATAAACCACATTAGGCTAATCTTAATGTTGTATTTTTCTTTCTGAGAGATTCTCTGAGAAAAGTACATCTAAGGCCCCGTCCACACTACTGCGTTTTCGTTTAAAAACGGAGAATTAAAACGAATACGATCTCCGTCCACACCAGCGTTTTGTCTGCGTATTAGAATTGATCTCCGTCCACATTAAAACGACTGAAAATGCAGATCACGTGACCATTCATCGACACTGGGCATGCGCGTGCCGGTGTAAACAGTGAATGACGAATCAGGGAAGGATGCGTCATGACTGATAACACCCAATCATAGAGCCAAGCGTCAGCCTCTGCGTCAGCGTTTCTAAAGTTCTCCGTTTTGTATGGTTTTGTCTCATCCACACTAAAACGCACTCCGGAGATTCAAAACGCAAAACGCAGCTGCAGCGTTTCTAAACTTCTCCGTTTTAGGTCTTCGTTTTTCCCGTTTTAGTGTGGACGGGAGGTGCAAACGTAGCAAAAGGTCTCCGTTTTTAAACGAAAACGCAGTAGTGTGGACGGGGCCTCCGTCCACACTAATGCGTTTTCGTTTAAAAACGGAGAATTAAAACGAATACGATCTCCGTCCACACCAGCGTTTTGTCTGCGTATTAGAATTGATCTCCGTCCACATTAAAATGACTGAAAATGCAGATCACGTGACCATTCACCAACACTGGGCATGCGCGTGCCGGTGTAAACAGTGGTTGGCGAATCAGGGAAGGACACGTCATGACTGATGACACCCAATCATAGAGCCGAGCGTGAGCCTCTGCGTCATCGTTTGTAAACTCCTCCGTTTTGTCTCGTCCACACTAAAACGCCCTCCGGACATTCAAAACGCAAAACGCAGCTGTAGCGTTTCTAAACTTCTCCGTTTTTCCCGTTTTAGTGTGGACGGGAGGTGCAAACGTAGCTAAAGGTCTCCGTTTTTAAACGAAAACGCAGTAGTGTGGACGGGGCCTAAGTCAGATGATTAGGGGAAGGGATATCATCAACAGCGGTTTTAAAACATTTAAAAAGCGACGTTTTGAATGTTCAGAGACAGAAGACTCCGACAAACAACACAAGCTCTGTGACAAGAATCTGAAATGTTTTTATTACTTTTTTCCATTTATTAAAGAGAATTTCTTTACAACATACATTTAGCTGTGAATCAGATGTGGGAGAGGGCCGGTGACAAAACCATAGCAAACAAGAGTACAAACTCCACTTCCAGAGTCCAAAGGCACCAGCACGGGAATCGTGATCTCCGTTCACTACGGCCGGAGCGATTATTATATATTCAGACGGCACGATTTAGAGTCGCCTCAGACGGGCTGTGACGACAAGTGAGTTCAACATCTACAAAGCCGAAACTAGAGATTCCTGGACGCCAAGTTCAATAAAACGTGTGTCAAAATAGTTAAATAACAATCCCTCATATTACATCACAACGATAGATCTAGAAAATTATATTAATCGGAATCTGTCACAAACATTGAAAACATTAATCTGTTTCCTAATATTATTGGAGTGCATATCTACACAGGAGCCAGCCTGTATTCACTGCCTAAAAACTGTTTGATCATATACATTAGAAAGCTTGTGTGGTGTGTGTGTTTGGGAGAAACATCATATCTGATTCGTTCATGTGTTTTTCTCTTATTGCCTTGAAGCAGCCAGATCTACAGATACACATCAATTCAACTACAAACAGTGTAAAAACATCATCTTGACTTTGTGAAAAGTAATAAAAAAAAGGACAAACGCAACAAAATCAAAGCAAAAAAACAACATTCTTCCAGCACAACAAGAGGGCTGACTCCAACATTTCATTGGCACAATCAGAAATCAAGCACAAAGTCATTTGTGGTTAGCAACAGGACCAGAGTCGACAACGACAACACCTACATTCTTCAATTACGTTTTTTTGTTTCTTTTTTAATCAAATGAGGGAAAAAATGTCATTATAAGAACTACGACAGTTAACAGCTAACAAACAGCTTCACTACTCAGGGGTGTAAGGCACAAATTTACAGGTGGAAGGAGAAAAACAGGCATGTTTGAAAATGAAATGCTTCAACAAAAGGCCTGTGTGTGTGTGTGACTGTGAGAGTGTGTGGACAGGACGAGAAAACGATACGTTTGAAAGCATTAACCAAACGTCTTAAGTACGGCTCATCCTTTCCTTTGCTCACGTCGAGCGAGAATGGCACTCGGTGATGGACCGGTGGCTTTCAGCAGGAGATGGACGAGATGAAGAGGTGAGATCAGGAGTTCCTTCTGTGGGCTGTAAGCTTTACCCACAAGCCCCTCTGGCACGGCTTGAGGAATACTCCTTCCATACGGAGGCTTCCGTCTCCGTCTCTGAGTTTGCTTAGCAACGTCCGAAGAGTTAGTGGACAGAAGTACTGGCTCCAGTTTAATGACTTTAAATAATTTCACACTTGATTAATTCAAATTAAAAAGATCATTTACATCTCGTTTGAGCCTAAAAGAGATGCTCTTTCTGCAAAAGCACTTTATTAAAAAATAAATACAACCAGCTGTTAGTATTAACAGTCACGCGTTATTTAGTCATCAGTTTCAGTAGACGTCTTGAACTCGTGCACGAAGGCAGAACTCGATTGCTTTGTCCAGTAACAGTAACACTGAGACAGGCGGCGGCGTTGTTTCACAGTTTTCCCTTGTAAACTCCAGTCTGAACGTGTTCAAGTGCTCGATAGCCGGGGCGTCTCGCAGCTTCACAACTGAACAATTCCGCCTGTCTCCGATGTGCTTTTGGCAGAAAACAAACATCAGCTGCAACACAGCGCAGGCGAAATCTTTAAGAGTTCCTCTTTCCGGGAGCAGATGTTTGCCCTCTTGGAACGGGCACTATCAGCCTGAGCTCGACATTGAAAAATATACAAAACCCAAAAACAAAAGAAAGGAAAAAGTGAGTTGCATTTCCTGTACATAGCTGTACAAAGCAGACACACTTTATTGTTCCCTGTCTTTAATCCCGCATTATGTGCAGGAGTCACCGGATTTGATTTTCGTGGAAAGGGACACCAGTGCCGGTTTGGGAGGGACGTCGGGCTTGAGCTGCCGGGACCCGCAGCGAGGCAGAGACCCGTACGAGCTCAGGCTGGGGTGACGGCTCAGGCTGAGGACCGGAGACGTGACGTGCATGGAGTCCACTCGCTGCGGGGCGGGCGGAGGCGTCTCCACACGGAAGCTGTGGTTCCTGGACATGTGGGATGAGTTGGACGAGTTGGTGTTGTGCTGTTTCTTGAGGCCCGAGCTCATGGGGTAGCCTCGCCCGTACATGGACGAATGCACGTCGAGCCTCTTGCCCATCTGTGGCACGGCGGGCGGGAGCGCCAGAGACGCCTCTCGCTGGGGGACCCGAGGAGGAGCTCCGTCGACATCCGCCAGACCGAGACCGTGACACGGGCTCTTGAGGGACTTGTACTCGAGAGTGGCACCCTGGTCGTCTGCGAAGTCTCCGCGGTGGGGCTGCTCCACGTACTCGTGCTGGTAAGCTTGGGTCAAAGGCAGAACCACCACGCTGGAGATGTGGCCCGGAGACGCCCGAAGCGGCAGATCCGTCGGGATGACCGGAGTGACCATGGAAGTCAAGTCTTTGGTGCAGGCGTTGATCAGGTTCTGGTTGCGCTCCCACTCGCGGCTGCCCCGACTGGGCTTGCGGCGCGGCTGCATTGGCGTGGACTCGGGCGTGGGCAGGGCGCTCAGATCTGGGTGCTGGTCAGCTTTAATCAGCATCTTGCCGTTGGACAGACGGCCGTTGTGCATGAGTGGAGTCAGAATGGCTTCAGGCCGGCCGTCCTTGGCTTGCGTCTCAAACAGCCCCGTCAGCTTGGTGACGCTGTTCATGGAGCCTCGTCTGGACTGAACAGAGTCCTTGTCTTTGCGGCCGGGCAGCTCAAAGTCGCGCCGGCGGTGGTGGTCGCACACGCAGTAGACGATGATGCCAGAGAATATGGCGCCCATGGCGAAGGCGAGGATGACGGCGATGGCCAGAAGCGTCACTGGAACCATCTGATCCCGGTCTCTGTGGTACGTCTCACGAATCACACCTGCGAAGAGAAATTCACAATCGTTATATATTTTAGTGTTTTAACATAATCAATCGGACTCAATCTCAGGAAAGGGAAAGGTCTGTGAGCCGGGACTCAATCTCGGGAAAGGGAAAGGTCTGTGAGCCGGCCCGGGACTCAATCTCGGGAAAGGTCTGTGAGCCGGGCCTCAAACTCGGGAAAGGTCAGTGAGCCGGGACTCAATCTTGGGAAAGGTCTGTGAGCCGGGACTCAATCTTGGGAAAGGTCAGTGAGCCGGGACTCAATCTTGGGAAAGGTCAGTGAGCCGGGACTCAATCTCGGGAAAGGTCAGTGAGCCGGGACTCAATCTCGGGAAAGGTCTGTGAGCCGGGACTCAATCTTGGGAAAGGTCTGTGAGCCGGGACTCAATCTTGGGAAAGGTCAGTGAGCCGGGACTCAATCTCGGGAAAGGTCTGTGAGCCGGGACTCAATCTTGGGAAAGGTCTGTGAGCCGGGACTCAATCTCGGGAAAGGTCTGTGAGCCGGGACTCAATCTTGGGAAAGGTCTGTGAGCCGGCCCGGGACTCAATCTCAGGAAAAGTCTGTGAGCCGGGCCTCAAACTCGGGAAAGATCAGTGAGCCGGGACTCAATCTTGGGAAAGGTCTGTGAGCCGGGACTCAATCTTGGGAAAGGTCTGTGAGCCGGGACTCAATCTCGGGAAAGGGAAAGGTCTGTGAGCCGGGACTCAATCTTGGGAAAGGTCTGTGAGCCGGGACTCAATCTCGGGAAAGGTCTGTGAGCCGGGACTCAATCTTGGGAAAGGTCTGTGAGCCGGGACTCAATCTCGGGAAAGGTCAGTGAGCCGGGACTCAATCTTGGGGAAGGTCTGTGGGCCGGGACTCAATCTCGGGAAAGGTCAGTGAGCCGGGACTCAATCTTGGGAAAGGTCTGTGAGCCGGGACTCAATCTTGGGGAAGGTCTGTGAGCCGGGACTCAATCTCGGGAAAGGTCAGTGAGCCGGGACTCAATCTTGGGAAAGGTCTGTGAGCCGGGACTCAATCTTGGGAAAGGTCAGTGAGCCGGGACTCAATCTCGGGAAAGGTCAGTGAGCCGGGACTCAATCTTGGGAAAGGTCTGTGAGCCGGGACTCAATCTTGGGAAAGGTCAGTGAGCCGGGACTCAATCTCGGGAAAAGTCTGTGAGCCGGCCCGGGACTCAATCTTGGGAAAGGTTTGTGAGCCGGGACTCAATCTTGGGGAAGGTCTGTGAGCCGGGACTCAATCTCGGGAAAGGTCAGTGAGCCGGGACTCAATCTTGGGAAAGGTCTGTGAGCCGGGACTCAATCTGGGAAAGGTCAGTGAGCCGGGACTCAATCTCGGGAAAAGTCTGTGAGCCGGCCCGGGACTCAATCTTGGGAAAGGTTTGTGAGCCGGGACTCAATCTCGGGAAAGGTCTGTGAGCCGGGCCTCAATCTTGGGGAAGGTCAGTGAGCCGGGACTCAATCTCGGGAAAAGTCTGTGAGCCGGCCCGGGACTCAATCTTGGGAAAGGTCTGTGAGCCGGGACTCAATCTCGGGAAAGGTCTGTGAGCCGGGCCTCAATCTTGGGGAAGGTCAGTGAGCCGGGACTCAATCTCGGGAAAGGTCTGTGAGCCGGGACTCAATCTTGGGAAAGGTCAGTGAGCCGGGACTCAATCTCGGGAAAGGTCAGTGAGCCGGGACTCAATCTCGGGAAAGGGAAAGGTCTGTGAGCCGGGACTCAATCTTGGGAAAGGTCTGTGAGCCGGGACTCAATCTTGGGAAAGGTCTGTGAGCCGGGACTCAATCTTGGGAAAGGTCTGTGAGCCGGGACTCAATCTCGGGAAAGGTCAGTGAGCCGGGACTCAATCTTGGGAAGGTCTGTGAGCCGGGACTCAATCTCGGGAAAGGTCAGTGAGCCGGGACTCAATCTTGGGAAAGGTCTGTGAGCCGGGACTCAATCTTGGGGAAGGTCTGTGAGCCGGGACTCAATCTCGGGAAAGGTCAGTGAGCCGGGACTCAATCTTGGGAAAGGTCTGTGAGCCGGGACTCAATCTTGGGAGGGGTCAGTGAGCCGGGACTCAATCTCGGGAAAGGTCAGTGAGCCGGGACTCAATCTTGGGAAAGGTCAGTGAGCCGGGACTCAATCTCGGGAAAAGTCTGTGAGCCGGCCCGGGACTCAATCTTGGGAAAGGTTTGTGAGCCGGGACTCAATCTTGGGGAAGGTCTGTGAGCCGGGACTCAATCTCGGGAAAGGTCAGTGAGCCGGGACTCAATCTTGGGAAAGGTCTGTGAGCCGGGACTCAATCTTGGGAAAGGTCAGTGAGCCGGGACTCAATCTCGGGAAAAGTCTGTGAGCCGGCCCGGGACTCAATCTTGGGAAAGGTCAGTGAGCCGGGACTCAATCTTGGGGAAGGTCTGTGAGCCGGGACTCAATCTCGGGAAAGGTCAGTGAGCCGGGACTCAATCTTGGGAAAGGTCTGTGAGCCGGGACTCAATCTTGGGAAAGGTCAGTGAGCCGGGACTCAATCTCGGGAAAAGTCTGTGAGCCGGCCCGGGACTCAATCTTGGGAAAGGTTTGTGAGCCGGGACTCAATCTCGGGAAAGGTCTGTGAGCCGGGACTCAATCTTGGGGAAGGTCAGTGAGCCGGGACTCAATCTCGGGAAAAGTCTGTGAGCCGGCCCGGGACTCAATCTTGGGAAAGGTCTGTGAGCCGGGACTCAATCTCGGGAAAGGTCTGTGAGCCGGGCCTCAATCTTGGGGAAGGTCAGTGAGCCGGGACTCAATCTTGGGAAAGGTCTGTGAGCCGGGACTCAATCTTGGGAAAGGTCAGTGAGCCGGGACTCAATCTCGGGAAAGGTCAGTGAGCCGGGACTCAATCTCGGGAAAGGGAAAGGTCTGTGAGCCGGGACTCAATCTTGGGAAAGGTCTGTGAGCCGGGACTCAATCTTGGGAAAGGTCTGTGAGCCGGGACTCAATCTTGGGAAAGGTCTGTGAGCCGGGACTCAATCTCGGGAAAGGTCAGTGAGCCGGGACTCAATCTTGGGGAAGGTCTGTGAGCCGGGACTCAATCTCGGGAAAGGTCAGTGAGCCGGGACTCAATCTTGGGAAAGGTCTGTGAGCCGGGACTCAATCTTGGGGAAGGTCTGTGAGCCGGGACTCAATCTCGGGAAAGGTCAGTGAGCCGGGACTCAATCTTGGGAAAGGTCTGTGAGCCGGGACTCAATCTTGGGAAAGGTCAGTGAGCCGGGACTCAATCTCGGGAAAGGTCAGTGAGCCGGGACTCAATCTTGGGAAAGGTCTGTGAGCCGGGACTCAATCTTGGGAAAGGTCAGTGAGCCGGGACTCAATCTCGGGAAAAGTCTGTGAGCCGGCCCGGGACTCAATCTTGGGAAAGGTTTGTGAGCCGGGACTCAATCTTGGGGAAGGTCTGTGAGCCGGGACTCAATCTCGGGAAAGGTCAGTGAGCCGGGACTCAATCTTGGGAAAGGTCTGTGAGCCGGGACTCAATCTTGGGAAAGGTCAGTGAGCCGGGACTCAATCTCGGGAAAAGTCTGTGAGCCGGCCCGGGACTCAATCTTGGGAAAGGTCAGTGAGCCGGGACTCAATCTTGGGGAAGGTCTGTGAGCCGGGACTCAATCTCGGGAAAGGTCAGTGAGCCGGGACTCAATCTTGGGAAAGGTCTGTGAGCCGGGACTCAATCTTGGGAAAGGTCAGTGAGCCGGGACTCAATCTCGGGAAAAGTCTGTGAGCCGGCCCGGGACTCAATCTTGGGAAAGGTTTGTGAGCCGGGACTCAATCTCGGGAAAGGTCTGTGAGCCGGGCCTCAATCTTGGGGAAGGTCAGTGAGCCGGGACTCAATCTCGGGAAAAGTCTGTGAGCCGGCCCGGGACTCAATCTTGGGAAAGGTCTGTGAGCCGGGACTCAATCTCGGGAAAGGTCTGTGAGCCGGGCCTCAATCTCGGGGAAGGTCAGTGAGCCGGGACTCAATCTCGGGAAAGGTCTGTGAGCCGGGACTCAATCTTGGGAAAGGTCAGTGAGCCGGGACTCAATCTCGGGAAAGGTCAGTGAGCCGGGACTCAATCTCGGGAAAGGTCTGTGAGCCGGGACTCAATCTCGGGAAAGGTCAGTGAGCCGGGACTCAATCTCGGGAAAGGTCAGTGAGCCGGGACTCAATCTCGGGAAAGGTCTGTGAGCCGGGACTCAATCTCGGGAAAGGTCAGTGAGCCGGGACTCAATCTCGGGAAAGGTCAGTGAGCCGGGAGTCAATCTCGGGAAAGGTCAGTGAGCCGGCTGTAAATGGGTATGTGTCTCCCTCGTCTACTTTTGATCTGATCGACCGAAGTGCATCTTAATACCAGGTTTAAACAGGGCCTGAGAATGTGCATTTATTCAAACACCAAAAGATCGTTTTCACTGCCGTGCAGAGATGAGAGAGAGAGAGCGCTGGAAGGCTAAATCTGGTTTCCACATCAGGGAGATATCTTAATCTACTTTATTCTGTTGCTGATATATTATCCTACCTGAAATTCTCAGCAGATCAACCATTTAAAATCCACACCGGAAGAAAAGTGCTGCTATGTTTCCACAGAGGCATATAAATTGGATGTTGTACATTTGTTACAAACCCATAAAGGTGTGATACAGCCATCCATCACGCTTTAGAGCTCGAGACGTTTAATGGACTGGTGAATATTGGTTTCTAACTCTGATGGCCTTGGCTACACACTCCTCTTATCTTGGGCGTTCTGAAGGAGTCTCTAAGATGACAAATGCCGTCACACATCTGGTTTTTCTCTGCTAAAGGGAAGATCTAAGGGGCGCTTCTTTCTTTTTAACTTCACTCTCATTGTCGGTCTCAGGAGAGGCTCTTCCTCTCAGTCTGTTTGATGTTTTAAAGCGTCTCTTTCATGCGTCTACTGTACGACACCCCTGAGAAATGACACCGCTCGAACGGATCCATTAAGTCTTCCTTCATGAAAAGAACTATGAGTAGAGCTGTTAGCATAACCATTTCATAC